TTGCAGAGAACAAGAAAGGTGTAGCCTTGTTCAAGATAAATAGATAGTTTTTAATATGTTAAGAGAGTTAACTTTTAACATTTTTAGAAAAATCTGGTTTTTATTTTAGACCAAAAGTTTTAGCTTTTATATAACGAGAAGAGAATGAATGTATCGACATACATATCAACTAAACAAAAAAAAACGAAATTCAGCGTTAAATCTAGCAAAAGTATAGACAAACAATAGTCTTACCAAACATCTGGAATTATATCGCATTAAGAATTGTGTAAAAGTGAAAAAATTGACTGAATCTAGCCAAAAATTGAAAATTTCACTATAAAATACACACACATTACTTTAAGTTAATTAAAAATTGCAATGTACAAGGTGATTTAAAGTAACCTTCCGCAACTTTAGGGGGTGCTTACTTGAGGTGTCCTTAAGGACACTGTTTGTATGGTTATTTTTAGTTTTTTGCTAAAAACATTTTTAAATTTATCCGAAACCGCTTGACAAATTTTAAGAAAGTTGTGTGCATCAATAGCTATCGAGTGAATGAAATATATTTTTTGTCCACTTCACACTGACCTGACATTCGATATTGTTGTGGGTATAAATTGCACGTTTCTGATTTGCCAAAAAAATAATTTTCCCGTTCCTTGCTCGTTCTAAACAAAAAAGATCTCCTGAGTTTTCTTCACGCAAAGCATCATTTTCGAGGAAAAATTATAAACTTGTATTAATGCTCGTCTTGGTATTCTCTGATTCGAAAATATTGCGTAAAATTGCGTTTTGGATGAAAACAGTATCTTAATTATACATCTTGTTTCAATTTCATAAAATCAACCAAACTGTGGCAGTTCTGAAATGCTGTTCAAATAAAAATGAGAATAAAAATCTTAGAATTGTCTGATTCGAAAATATTGCATACATTTGCAAAATGAGATTCTTAAACCGAATTTTTCCAAATCGCTTATACAAGAGTTTATTTCAAAACATTTTGCATGAAGACAATATCCTAAAAGTATTCGCTTTTGAGGAATATTTCATAAAACTGTATGTTTTATAAGAGATAATTAGAACCAAACTGTGACATTTCTGAAATGCTGTTCAGACAAAAATGAAAATATTAATCTTGAAATTCCCTGATTCGAAGATATTGAATAAAATAACAAATTTAGATTCCTAAACCGGAATCTTCAAAACGTTTAACATGAAGAAAATATCTTTAAAAAATACACATTTTCAAGGAACATTTTATAAAATTATTAACTACCGTTTATAAAATGTTTACAGTTCTTAAGTTTTCTTCTGGATTCGATTTCGTTTGCATATTTTAATATTCTTTATAGAATCATTGATAATAGAATTTTTTAATTCGAGTTTCGAGAATCTTATTCTATTGTCAGAAAAGGAAATTAGAAGCAAACTGTGAAAGAGAACAGTCTTAAAAAGTTGTCCAAATGCTCTTTTAATTAAATGCGACAAGCAGAGAAAAGCTGTCTTGTTAAAAATGTGTAATTTTTCGCTTAAAATGTTTCTGGACAAGAAAACGACCTACTCCAAAGGAAATTCTATAAAGATGGAATTCTCCCTCTAAGCTGTGATGTTTACTTAATACTTGTAATAATTGTGTTGTTTAACCGTTTTTTTATATTTAATCACATCATTTTGGTAAAATTTAATTCTGCCACAAAACCATTTGACAAATTCCAAAAGACGACTTATTAGCAATAGATTTTCAGGTTGTTTGTAAGGGTTTTCGCAGATAATGTTTCACATGTTACCAATAGGATTGCAACAGCATAAAAATAATGTTGTACCATCAAGACTTTGAATAAAGTGAGACTGAGCCAACATGTTGTAAATATCCACTTCCAAGATCCTTACCATTTTTGGCTAAAACTATGCAAATAAAAACGTGCTGTTGTTTGCAGGAAACTGAAGAAGATCAGACCTGTCTCGAGGACTTCCAAGAATGCATCGAAGAATTCCAGGAAGATCTGGTGAGCGTGCCGATTTTCATCGAAGATGAACACTCGTTCAACCATTCGCCGTGTACATCGCAAGTGGAGGATTTCGGGCAAAAAAACTTCCATCGTCACAACCACGTTTCGAACGCAGACATTTTAGAAAATAACTATCTGAATATCAAAGAGTTAGCTAGGGATAGTATCGGTGACAGTGATATCGATATTAGTTTCAAAAGTACGAACGATAACTGTTTGGACCACAGCGGAAGAAATGGCGGTTGTGATAATATTCAATTGATAATGAAGAGTCAGAAACGGACGTGTTTTGAGAAAACCGACAGCTTGACGCAGAGCGAAAAACCCTCGTTGTCCGACAAGGATGACTATGAAACGTGCATGAGCGACTCCTTGTCGGAGAACAATACCAAAGTGGAAAAACCTCAAGTACAAATCCTCGACGATAACGTCAACGTTGAAACTTTCTTCGGAATGGACGATACAACCCCCACAAATTCTAAAGTAGATTTAAGCAACTCTAGTCACTTTTATACTACCAGCTTCTTTAAAACCAGTGCCACGAATCAAGTGCCAAGTTCATCCGAACCATGTTTGCCTACGGAACCCTTTCCCAACTCCAAATCCATTTGCCTTGAAACGAAACTGGACGATTTGAAGTCGTATGATAATCAGGACGTTTGTGAAGGCGACGAGTTTTTTCTAGTCCAATACCCTTCGGAACCATCGAAACAAGTGGTGTGTAAAAGTGTCAGTGTGCCCAACGTTCAAGACAATTCCGATCTTTCCGCCAATAGCAAACTTACCTATAAACTTCGCGAGTATTACAATGACTATGAAAATTGTCTGGATGCGTACAAGGAAGCAACGATTTTCGAGAAAATCAGCTGGGAAATGAGCGATTCGCAGATTTTCAACGAGATTTTTTTACCGTTCAAAAGCCGATCAGCACCCAATGTTATGGACAGGTCTTTTGTTACACTCACTTATGATCCTGGACCTGATTCGGGTCGAAGAAAATCTGCTTTCGTTGCAGGCTATCCGATTAATGAATGGTAAGTTTTGCATTTTATTTAGACAAATTTCCTTACAAACTAACTCATCAAGGTATGATGAATTTGGGAATTTTGTGAAATTGAATGTTGAATATTGTCTTATTATATGCTTTGGCATGCATCCAAAAGTTTGTTAAAATTGTTAAAAATTAAATTGGCCAATTGGCACTTCATATAGAGTTTATACAAAAAGTTAAATATGATAGCGAAGCAACTTAATTTTCTCGCTGGTAAAAGTAAAGCGGCATTGGTGAAAAGGTGATTATTTCTTTAAAAAAATTGATATTATGTCATCTTCATTTAATTGTAAAGAAACTTTCAACTCTTGGACTTTGATGTTACCATAAGTGGAAAGTGTTTCGATTCAGTCGGCCTGGTTTTTGAGGTGGTTTTTTTCACGTTGGAGTTTAGTATTTATTTCGTTTTTTCCTTGCGAAGTGAGAAAATGAAATTTGCTTTCATTTTATATTTTTGATTTTTCAATCATCTTCACGATGATCTTTATCAATTTTTCAAAATTGCTTTTCAATTGCAATGCAAATTCAAGAATATTTGAAAACCGCACGCGGTCGCAGTTCGGAGTTTGAGCGTTATTTCTTCAGAAAGAAGTTAATTTTGAGAGTAACTTCTGTATGTATTTTGTTGAGAAGAACCTGTTTAGTATAGAAATTTCCATTTTCATGTTATGACTATAACATTGGCTGTTTTCAAAATTTCTTAAATTTTACGATGGAATTTTGTGTTTGTCTAGGCAGGCCTCAGATTGGCACTTACTTTCTCAGAAACCAGTAAAGTTCGATATTCACTTTCGGGCGTATTTTGTGGGGAAACGTGCGTTCTAGATGTGAAAAAAAAGTTTTGATATTGACATCTTCAAGCTATTTTCAAGATTTTTTGAATTTGCGACATTTTGTGATCGTTTATGCACGCCTAAGTTTGTCAATCATTTTCTCTGAAGCCAGTAAAGTTGCACATTCACTTTCCCCGCTGAATTGTATAGAGCAAAGTGCGTTCTATATGGGGAGAAAAAGTTTTGATTTGGATTTATCATCAGGTTATTTCTAAGGTTCTGCGGTTCAAAGTTTGCTATTTATTTTCTGAATATCCAGAAAAGTTGAGGAATCATCTTTTCATACATTTCATAGGGCGAGGTTTTTTCTATGAATTGGAAACGTTTCAAATTTGACTCATTAATTGTATTTATTTCAATGCGTCCTTGGTTTCTCCATATGTTGATTTTCCAAGATAATTCTAACGTGGTTCGACTTTTCTCAAATCGGAAGTATTCTTGTCGATAAGAAACAACAAGTACTGAAATTGCCCAGTCTCAAAACTACCTAATTGGTTTTAGTGACCGCATATTTTGTTCCCGACATTTACTGGAACTTTTCAAGTGATCTCATTATTTCGTCCTAAATAGAAATAACTAATGGGATTAGTTTGCCAGTCCGTTTGTAAGGATTCAGTTTCACTCTATTTAATGTGTTTTTGCAAATTAAAATACAGGAATTCGTGCCATTTTCATAGGAAAGATTGGGTTACTTTTTCGAGTAGGGAATGCGGTTTATATTTCAGGTCACGACTCTAGGGATTATTTTTTTTATTACTGTTTCTCGGCGACTGCTAAGCTTTGCCTGGCTTCATTTAGGACAATATTCAAAAAATACATTTACTGAAAGATAATGAGAAACAGACGCTTTTCACGCGCATTTTTAACCATCAGCCGTGTTTTGCTCGGGAGTGTCAGTCGATTTAATCAAGATTATTATGGATTAGAAGCTTCCACTTTCCAGAGCGTTTCTATGGGAAGTTTCGTCGCTTCTTAACGCAAATTGCGCCATCCGTAACGCTTTGGTTCCCCAAATCGTTGATTTCTATTAAGCTCCATGAACCTATTTTGACTAGAATTTTTTGTTTCTAAAGGTTCAGTATTTTTTCATTTTTTTTTTTAGTTTTTGATATTACAGTTTACTAGTTGAATTTGACCATGGAAATGGTCGATTAAAAAAAAACGGATGTCTCAAAGTGCCTCACATTCTAGTTCATTTTTATCTCAAGGAAGCGAATAATGCGACGAACTCACTAAAAAACACGCTAGAAGCTTCTGATGCGAAATAATCGACATTTTTTATTCGCTTTAAGCAGTTTTGAGCTGTCAAGATATTTAACCGACGACATCTTTCGTATTACAGTTTAAAAAACTTTATATACCTATGCACATTGGGGCAGCTTCTTCAAACGAAAAAAATCCACTGATCTCAAAAAAATTGAATGCAAAATCTTGATTTTTGTACGAAAAAGTGATCTGAAGAAAAGGTCGCTTTTTTAGAAAAAAACAAATCTTTCAAAATCCCTCGAATTCTAGTTAATTTTCACATCAAGGGAGCGAAGAATGCAACGAACTCATTCAAAAACGCAATGGAAGTTTCTGATGCGAAATAATCGACATTTTTTATTTGTTTTAAGCAATTTTTGGAACGATTTTTAACCGACGATGTTTTTCTTATCATAGACGCAAACGCTTTATATATACATATTGGGCAGCTTCTTGAGCTGGAAAAAATCCATTGCGTTCAAAAGAATTGCATGTAAAATTTTGCTTTTGGGACGAAAATTTAATAAGAGGTGGAAATCGATTTTTCGAAAAAAAGAACAAATTGCTCCAAATACCTCAAATTCTAGTTCATTTCAATCGCAAGGACGCAAATAATGCAACGAACTTATTGAAGAACACACTAGAAGTTTCTGATGCGAAATAATCGAAATTTTTTTATTCGTTTTAAGCAATTTTGGTCACGATTTTTAACCGACGACCATTTCCTTATTATAGATTAAAACACTTTATATATGCATATTGGGCAACTTCTTTAGCCGGAAAAAAATCCATTGCGTTCAAAAGAATTGCATGTGAAATTTTGCTTTTGGGTCGAAAATTTAATAAGGTGGAAATCCATTTTTCCAAAAAAAGAACAAATTGCTCGAAATGCCTCAAATTCTAATTCATTTCGATCGCGAGAAAGCGAATAATGCAACGAATTCATTGAAAAATGCACTAGAAATTTCTGATGCGAAATAATCGACATTCTTTATTTGTTTTAAGCAATTTTTGTCACGACTTTTAACCGACGATATTTTTCTTATTATAGATTCAAACCCTTTATATATGCATATTGGGAGGAATCTTAACGCGGAAAAAAATCATTGAGCTCAAAAAAATTGCATGTAAAATTTTTATTTTTGTCCGAAAATTTCATAAGGGGTGTAAATCTTTTTTTTTTAGAACAAATCTCTCCAAATGCCTCAAATTATAGTTCAGTTTGAACTCAGAGATGCAAATAAGCAAAGAAATTCTTTGGTTTTTATGTATGAATGGTGTTTTTGTAATTCTTGTATTTATTTAAATCGCTGTAACTTCTAAACGACTGTTTCGATTTTGGCAACTTTAAGCCTTTTGGAGGAGAAATGTTAGTGTGTTTCACTATCGTATACAGTAAATCTCGACATGATAACTTTGAAACAGTAAAAAAACAATTTTTTTAAGTAAATTTTATTTACTTTTCACCTGTTATGCCAGAATTATACAGTCCAATTTAAATTTTTGAGCTTAAACCAAAATATTGTTATTGGCACGAAGTGCACCCTCTGGAAAAGCAGTTAGACATGTTGCGGTTGTACTTGAAACGACAGTGAAAAGTACTTATACTTCACTTCCAACCAAGCAAAAAATTACCCAAATCGAATGTTTGGCTTAAAAGGTACGGCATTTTAAATATAATATATAATAACTTTGCCCACTCTTATCAATCCAGGTATACCGACCTACCTTCATCAAGTACAGTTTAAGTTGGAAATTTCCGCAGAAATTGTTCGCTTGTGGTAAAATATGGCACATGAAAGTTAATTTCATGATTGATTCCTTTAAGGTGAGGTGACTCAGAAAACATTCATTAATTCATAAAGAATATGACGTTTGCAGTGAGTAGTTTGCTGAACCCTTCCTGATCACTTCGGATGCAACATTAACTATATAATTGAAACACTATAAACTGAAACTTCACTCGGATTTTTTTCAAAGATCAATATTTCTTCAAAGTCGTGATTGCCAAAATTTTCAAATAAACTAGGCTGCCTCCCTGGCTAAACTGATGGCATCATACATAATAGATCCGCGCGTAACCCTTAAAGACAGCACGTTTTCTCCATCAATCACCGTTTCAGCAGGCACAGTAATTTTTTCCCAGAAGAAATTTCCACTTTGCAGCGCGTCCCTGTAGACGGCTTTATCATTGTCGAACTCAAAGTCAGCGAGAGCAACGTCGTTCACTTCAACCTGCAGATGGGCGGTTGTTACGTTGAAAATCAAAGAACCCGTAGCAGCAGCAATGGCCAATCGCAAAATTCTGCCCTGATTGTCCGGCTGGTCCTCATAAACCACTTGCCACACTCCTGAGGACAATAATAAGTGCCTGGCCATTTGGCAGGTTTATTGGAATTTACCTTCACTTTGCGAGTAGTACCATTCCCGGGAATGGTTGCTTTGTCCGACGACAAATTGCAGTTTTTTTGGCGTAACCAGATGCCAGTAAAAGTTGCGCAGCTCATGGCTGTACCGAAACCCATCGCTTTTACGGTCGGTTTCTCCTATCGCCCAAATAATTCCCGTCGGTTCTGGCAGCTCCAAGTCACCTACGTCGCGCAAACCTGTTTTGAAAACAATTCCATTTTCAGCCAGTCACACGTGAACCGAACAAAAATCCACTTATATCTAGCTTTATTCATCTACAGCCAAGGAAATAGCGTCGTACATAATCAATCCGCGTAAAAGTTCAAAAGAAATCGTATTTGATCCGTCGGCGAGATAATTGGCCGGGATCGCGATAACTTCGGAATGGAAGTTGCCGTTCTGGAGCGCATCTCTGTAAATAGTTGCGTCGTTGTCATACGCAAAGTGGCCGATGTCGTTTCCATTTATGGCCACAGTAACTGAAGCTGATCTGCTGGCAGCTGCAAACGCCACCCTCAGGATGCGACCGTAGCCGTTTCTCTCATCCTCATAAGTCACTTTCCAGATTCCGGGAGTCTTGGTTTGCGCATAGTACCAATCATTGCCAATATCACTCTTTCCGATTTCGAATGTTAAGTTGGCTGGAGGAAGCAAATGCCAGTAATAGTTACGCAACTCGTCGCTCCAATGGTAACTATCAGAGCGCCGGCTGGTTTCGCCTATAGCCCAGATTATGTTTGCTGGTTCTGGTAGATCTAGATCTCCAATATTATGAGTGCCTAGGTAAAGAGTGGGTGAATAGCTTTGGCGTCCATTGAATCAGTGGAAATCGCGCTATGTCTGTTAAAAGCTACACCAACATGTAAAAAGCGAAATTTACACTGCACATTTCCTACCTCCAGCTTCAACCGTGATGCTCTTTCTCGCTAAGTTTTCGCTTCCATGCCCAGCCAATGGATAGGCTACGACATCATAGGAGCCCGGACGGATATTTTCAATGGCGAAAGTGCCATCTTCGTTAGTTTCCGCGTGGAACAAATAGCCCAGATTCTGCAGGTCGAACTGCTGCTCAACCGCGTCGTAAACGACTACCATGGCTTTTGTTTGGCCAGTTACTCTTCCTGACACAGATCCGCGGGACAAGGGGTACTCCTCATCCTCCACCCAGCTGAAGGAAGGAATTTTAAACTGCGCCCCTCAAAAATTTCACGCTTTGATCGACTACCTGTAAGGCCATTGCGATTGCTCGATTAGAGCCTGATTGGCCGCATCCGCTAGAACTTCCTCTTCAGACCCAGTATTGATGTAAACTAGGTAAGGCCCAAAGAATTTGGACCAGCCTGGCGGCACCAGGAGGTTGGGAGTACCAAAATGCGTACTATGGAAATAGTTGAGCATTAAAGAGTCTTGATGAACCAGCAGTTCCTGCTTCAAAGGCCCAGCTGAGTGGTACTCGCGACTCGCCGACACGATCCACCCTCCAAAGCCACCTGGAGGTAAATGAGCGTAGAAATCCCCTGTTAGGGTGATTGTTTCTAGTTGCTACCTCCATAAACTCCAAACCAAGGTGTCTCTCGGATGTAGCCACATAAATCGTATTTGGACCAATACGTGCCATCAGCTAGTTGCCAAGTGGTGTCTTGGATTAGGGGCCTGCCGCTCACATCAGGAGTGGCTTCGCTTCGAATTATATTGCTAACTTTTGGCATGAGGGCATGGTCGAAGCGGTGAACTGTTCGGAATTCGGCAAAATCCACCGTTAGATCAGTGGGGTTGGACAGTTTGATGTACTGGTAGATGCCACTTAGAGCAGGGAACACCACTGGAAGAAATCGACTTTGTCACGTTTGCTAATGTGAACTCCTAGATGTTTGTGATTGGTTTTGGGTTTTTTTGATGGATTTATATTTGGGAAGTTTGATGGATGATTTGCAAAGTATTTTTAGACCACGTTCTTGTTAATCTTGGTATATTTTTCTTAGTGATTTGATTGCAAAAATTGGCATGCTCTAATTGGTTCCGCACGTTACACGAGTTTTTCTTATTATAGACGCAAACGCTTTATATATACATATTCGGCAGCTTCTTGAGCCGGAAAAAATCCATTGCGTTTAAAAGAATTGCATGTGAAATTTTGCTTTTGGGTCGAAAATTTAATAATCGATTTTTCCAAAAAAGGAGCAAATTGCTCCAAATACCTCAAATTCTAGTTCATTTCAATCGCACGAAAGCGAACAATGCAACAAACTTATTCAAAAACTCACTAGAAGTTTCTGATGCGAAATAATCGACATTTTTTATTCATTTTAAGCGATTTTTATCACGATTTTTAACCGACGATATTTTTTTTATTATAGATTAAAACACTTTATATAGGCATATTGGGCAGCTTCTTAAGCCGGGAAAAATCCATTGCGCTCAAAAAAATTGCATGTGAAATTTTGCTTTTTGGTCGAAAATTTAGTAAGAGGTGGAAATCAATTTTTCCAGAAAAGAACAAATTGCTCCAAATGCCTCAAATTCTAGTTCATTTCGATCGCGAGAAACCGAATAATAATGCAACGAATTCATTGAAAAATGCACTAGAAGTTTCTGATGCGAAATAATCGACATTTTTTATTCGTCTTAAGCAATTTTTGTCACGACTTTTAACCGACGATATTTTCCTTATTATAGATTCAAACCCTTTATATATGCATATTCGGAGGAATCTTGACGCGAAAAAATTCATTGAGCTCAAAAAAATTGCATGTAATCCACCGTTAGATCCGTGTCCAAAATCCACCGTTAGATCAGTGGGGTTGGACAGTTTGATGTACTGTAACACCACTGGAAGAAACCGACTTTGTCACGTTTGCTAATGTGAACTCCTAGATGTTTGTGATTGGTTTCGGGTTTTTTTGACGGATTTACATTTGGAAAGTTTGATAGATGATTGCAATGTATTTTTAGACCACGTTCTTGTTAATCTTGGTATATTTTTCTTAGTGATTTGATTGCAAAAATTGGCTTGCTCTAATTGGTTCCGTACGTTACACCGTTACACGAGGACCAGTGATTGTTTCCATTGCTTCTTTTTTGTTCTTGATGTAGCAAGACGCACTTCTTCAGAAGGCTGAGTGTAATCGAATTGATAATCGGAAAAGTTAACAGCCGCTAACTTTCTTATTAGAGACACCAACAATTTATGAAAACCGCATATTGGGAGCTGCTTCAGTTCAAAAAATCCATTGAATTTTGGCCCTTTTATGATGAAATTTTGATTTTTGGCTCAAACGAAAAGAAGTCGATTAAAAAAAATCGCCCGAAATGCCATTGAAAAACTAGCTAAAAAACTTCATATTTAACATAGTCGACATTTTGGATCCGTTTTAAGCTGTTTTTGAGCAGTTTAGTTATTATAGACACAATAAATGTATATATGCATAATGGCATAAGCTCCGTAAAAATCAAAAAGTTTCTTTTTAAGTCCAAAAAATCCACTGAGCTAAAAAAACTACATGTCAAATTTTTATTTTTGACCAAAAATTTCAAAAGTTCGACTTTTTCCAAAAAAACTATAGCAAAATGCTCCGAATTCTAGTTGATTTTCATCTCAAAAAAGCAAATAATGCAGCAAACTGATTGACAAACGCGGTTCAAATATTCAGATCCGAAATAATCGACATTTTTTATCCGTTTTAAGCAATTCTTGTGCGGCCACGATCTTTAATAGACGATATTATAAACCCAAGTACTTTATATTGCTTCTTGAGTGACAAAAAATTCACGGAGCTCAAAAAAATTGCATGTAAAATTTGTATTTTTGTCCGAAATTTTCAAAAGTTCAACTTTTTCAAAAAACATTTTTGTCAAAACATCCCGAATTCTAGTTGACTTTCATATCAAAGGGAGCAAGACAAACTAATTGAAAATCACGGTTGAATATTCAGATCCGAAACAATCGAAATTTTTATCCGTTTACAGTTTTTGTACTCCCTCGATGTTAACAGACGATATATATTTCTTATTATAGACCCAAACACTTTATATATACTATTTGAGCAATACAGTATGGATTTTGGGCGAGCTTTTTGAGACGGAAAATATCTACTAAGCTCAAAAAAATTGCATGTAAAATTTTAATATTTGGTCGAAAATTTCACAAGGAATGGAGGTCAGAAACATTTAAAACAGAAGTAAAAAACACGCTAGAAGATTCTCATTTGAAATAATCGAGAGTTTTGATCCGTTTTTGAGCCGTCACGATTTTTAGCCGATTATATATTCCTTATTATAGACTCAACCACTCTATGTGTGCATATTGGGTCAAAAGCTATGCATTGAGCTGTAAATTTCCATTTGGAAAAATTATGTCTTTTGACCATACATGAAATTTGGCGAAAAACAAAATACAACGGAAAATTCCATATCTTTTCAATGTTCTCAGCAGAGCAAACCCATTTCCGACAGTCAATTTCTCTCAGTTCTAGAGCTTCATTTAGAGTGACTTAATAGTAAGTAAAATTAGAGAAAATTAAATTTAAGAAGTGAACAGCATACATTATCGCTAATTAAAAGTATTGTCCTTGTATTTATCTGAGAAGTTTTGGAATTATATATGAAATTCTCTGTTATACAAACTTTTGTTTAAATTCTGAAGATATAAAACCCTGCGTAGGAAACTTTAAACAAAATGCTCACTTCTACTTGATCGCAATATGTTAAATAATTTATTGTCATGCTGATGCTTCATAGAATGCTCATAATATTCAATGGTATTTCATAATCAGTAATCCGTGGCAATTGAGAATTTCCAGGATACTTTTGACGAACGTAGACAAATCGCAGTCACTTATCAGCTGCTCATAAAGTTTTCGATTCAATTTCCTACTTGATTGAAGTAAAGTTTTCCTAATTCATGCACTGTTCTCATGTTTCCAGGAAATATTGCCTGAACAATAATAAAAACTGCAGTACTTGAATCAACGAACTTAATAGTCTGATTTGGGGTCGTTTCAATGATCCATTAAAATATTAAAAGAACATAACAAAAGTTGAAAATATTAATTTTTCAAAGACAGCAATATTAGGAATGATGATGTGAAATTCGAGAGGGTTTCATCATACGCCTTTGTCCTGGGAGTCCATCATTCAAATAAAAACTGAATGAATTGTCTTTGATATATTTTTTTGCAATTGCATTTTCCAAATCTGCTGTATGCAAACTTGTTCAGAATGAGCAAATTTGCACAATAAGGGCATAAATAGCGACTCAATGTTCCAAGATTTTTTATTTTTTTTTGCATTTCAGTTTACATTATAAACATTTTACTGAATTTCATAAAATGGCATAAAAAGCTTCATAAAAAGATTGAACCGCTGTTCTGTGCCTTGGCACCTAAGAATATTAATGTATATCTATATAATAACATAATGTATATATATGTTTATTCTATATCCGAACCGAAGTTCTTAATTTGCAAGAATTTCAATAATATCGCTATTCAGCAAAGCAAAACACTTTTACCCAAGATGCGTAAACAAAACCCTTAAAGTTGCCTAAGGAACTTTATACTCTAGATATGCAACATTAATCAAACTTTGGTGACAATTCAGAAATTCGAAAGCTTTTATAAAAAAAACCCAAGTTTACTAAATTGCGTATATTCGATCTGGATTGAGCACTTTCACGTTTCAAAGAAAGCACTTTAATAGCTGAACTTTCAGATGCCACGCTTTATTCGAAAATTTTGTTTATATTCATTGTTCTTTAAGCATTCTATGAATACACGATTAGAAAATTTATTTTATTCCCACTTAGCTTTGAGTGTTTGTAAGATATTTTGTTTACAATTGATTGCAAGTAGCACTTTACTATAAGTAGGTATTAGTTACCTCATAATTGTTTGTCTCTTCAAGTGTTTCAAACCTCTGAGCTGCAATTGTTGTAATCTTTGAATAAAAATATGCCAACAAAATCACATGATGAGCCCCTTTCAAGCGGCTAACAAAAAAATCCAGCTTAAATATTTCAAGAAAATGTCGATGGGGTAGCAATAAATTTCTCCCGGAAATCCAGCAGCGACTATCATACTAAAACTGACTACAGGAAATTAGAACCGGCAAAACATTGAAAAATTGCGGATTCAAAGAAAATAATACATTTTATGAGATTGATTTTGGAATGCACTTTCTTTGAACTATTGTATTAGTACGTTTATATATAATGGTCTAAAAAGCTTTGGTAACCGATCCATATCCATATAGAAGTTGATTGATTCATTCAAAAATATGATTCATTTCATGCAGTAAATCATTAATGTGCATTTATTTGAATGTTTGTTTTATTTCAGCCGTTATTATTGGGCAATGACAACAGAATATACCTTATCCAATTGTGCGCACACACAATTTTCGAAATTTTAATGCTTTTTTGTTGCTTTCCTCTTTATTGAAAACAAATACTTCCTTTTCCTTTTGCCTCCCCAATATGAACAATATAATGCCCTGAAGCCCAGGAGCTGAAAACTTGGGTTTCGCTTCCCTACCAATTAAACATTAAAACCAATTTCTGTTTGTAGCTCACAAAAGGCATCGGCAAATACGAAACAAAACTGAAAACAATATTGAAAAGGACGCAGGCAAGCAAAGTGATTATATATATGAATCAGATCGGGGATCCAGATGAAAAATTTGGTGATTATTTGAATAGGAAGAAGAGATGCAACTAACAGACTCCCAAAGAGTCTGCCAAAGGCATTGACTCACCCATATGAAATTCGATGTACATCAGTTCCCTCTCATAATTTGCTTCTTGAACGAACCGGACGTGCGCCTGTTCGGGTGTATTTCTAACAATTTCCACTAATGATGGTGTGAAATAGGCCCTTTCTCCATTCCAGTCCAGATACCAAGTTTGCATGCCCTCGGCAATATTCTCCAGAATATTCACTCCGTTTTTATGCAACGACTTGGCGGTGGCATTAGAGTTGAAAGTTACGGTAAAAAGATTGTTTCCCAAAGTGACTTCATCAAACTCGTTGATTTCGACAAAAGCCCCATCGTTTTCCGCTTCAACAACGAACCCATTGGTCGTTGTGGATAACAGAGCGAGAAATAGGATCGAAAATGGACCCATTTTCGATATTCTGGTCTGCAGGTGCAAAAGAAAGTGAGGGACTGGAGTATTTATCTGTTAACGTATACTATATACGTTCCTGATAGCATTATCTTAATAAATCGCTTGAATTATAAAACAACAACAGTAGTTCTACAAGCACTACTTCAATTGAAATTTTGTTTTTATACTGATAAAACTATAGATATTCAACTTCGTCGCAAATATTGATTGAAAACTTTAGGTTTTCTGTGTTTTGCCAACATTCCTATACTGCCTTCTCTGTTAGGAGAAAGTTAACAGCGCAAATATTCCTCCCAGCTAATGTGAATTAACGTAATAATTTGGAGAGTTCCATATCGAAGTCGCTGAATATATGCAAAGTTCGACGGATTCGCCAACAAACAGAGACAACTCCGAATACTTAGAGGTTAATCTCGTTGTCGGTTTAATGAGATTAGAGATTTTAGTGTCGGCACTATTCCAGTGTTGCGAAAACCATGTAGAGTAGCGCGTTTCGAATCCTTTCCGCGCTCGGATATTAGCTCTAGTTCCGATATGCTAGTTTTAACCAGCTGATGTGAAATGCTTCGAAATTTATTTCGTACATCAAATCTGTGGATTCGGCACCATATTTTATTAACTCTGTAACTATTTGGTGGTGGATCCAGAAAGATGGGTGACGGGAGAATGTTGCTTAATATAAATTGTTTGGTACTTTTCCAAACCCGTTCAACCAACCGCATTTATTTGAATTTTGAGTTGTTGTTTCAGTGAAATGACGGTGATACGGCACATCGAACCCGATTACGGAAACATGAAGAACCACAAAGAAAGTGCTGTGCACAAGCATTGGGGCTCCACTCATGTACTCAAAGTCTTCAGGGAAGCGAACAAAAGTTTGGGCATCAGCATTGTTGGAGGAAAGGTAAGTTTATGAAATCCACAACTTTTAGACTCTGCTAGCTTCTTCAGTTCGGAATCATAAGCTGTGCTTTATTTATCATGGAAGTTCGTATAGCGTGAGTCCCAGAAGTTATGTCTAAATTCATTTAAAATTCAACGGTGCGTATTATGGAAAAAAAGCTTGGACTCGTAAGTTTTTTTTAAATGCAGGTTTTATGTTAAATTTATTTACACAAAAAGATTTAAAAATACATTTCGGTCAACATCTGTATTTTTTCAATTAGAAGTACCTATTTTTTAATAAAATTTCGAATTCTTAGCATGATTCATGCACCTCCCTGTACCTCAACTCAACAGGACTCGAATAATTTATGAAGTAAAAATTATTTACCAAAATAACCAGATGCTTTAAAAATTAATCGCATCCAGGCCGGAAAGTATGCAATAGATGCATTCGTTTGCATGCATCGTTTATTTCTGATATGCAAAATTTTTACTTTTGCGGTTTTCGAATAGAGAAGTTAACGGAACGAGAAAACATTTAAATTCTCTGCATTGTTGGGTTTGACGATAAAACACGTACTCAAATAGAAGCAGCTAATTATTGAATGAAATCCGCTGTGATCGTCCTCTGATATACCAAAAGGTGGTGAGTAGAATAAAAGCTACATTCACAGAATTTGGTCATGTAAGAGATTTGCCTAATGAACAACTTCTTACTTATTTTTTTTTGGACGAAAATCTATTAGATTTTTGCAGTTTGTGGCCGATTTACACATGCAAAAATCTGTTGTTCACCGAACAGTTCGAAAGCACAAAAATAATCTCTACAAAGTTATTCCAGTGCAAGAGTTATTTGAAAAGCATGTCGATAGACGAAATGAATTTTGCGAAAGCATGCAATTTGGATAATAATTTAGTAAAAAACATAATATTTCCGCTGATGCTACATTCTGTTTGAATCCGTATGTAAACCGTCAAAATTTTCGATATTGAGCAGCAAAAAATCCGCATTGGCTGATGGAGAAACATAGGCAGTACCCCAATAAATAAAGTTGTGGTGTGGAACAGTGCGCGGATGAATAATAGAACCATTTTTTAACAGTGTCTAACTGAACAAGAATATCTAGAATTTTTCCAAGTTGAATTTATTCAACCACTGGTGCCTTTATTTCCAAATTGTCCTTCTCTACACTATGCTGCCATTTTCCGATTTTGCAATTCGTTCCCTATCGGTAGATAGGAAGAAGCATCTATTGAGTGACCTCCTATTTCCTAGATCTAACTCGCATAGATTTATTTTTGTGCGGTTACCTCAAATCGATTTTTTTTGACAAGCCAAACAATCTGCAGTAGTTGAAAGAGAAGATCCGAAAAGAAGTGCGTACCCTATCCGGAACTGGTCGAAAAGTGCCAGAATATTTGATTTTGAGTTTCTTGAATTATATCGGTCCTTATCAGGTCTAGAACAGCACACATTAGCTGAATCATACTAAGAATTTAATGAATAATTTAAACTAGAACTAAAAATCAGGTACTTCCATTTGAAAAAACAAGTTGATGGTCGTAATTAATTTTTAGACCAGCCTCTACAAACAAACTTGGTGTAAAAAAATCACATTTACAAGTAAAAATTGACTGGTTCAATATTTTTTGGCAAACAGTTGCTGATTTTTCGATGATCTTATTACTCCTTCTGGTACTCGTTGCATAATTTAACATCCAACTTTGCCGAGTGTTAACTTAACTCTAACCATCGATTTTCATTATTTCTCAATAAGATTTCTCGACATTTCAAGAGGCTGAAACAATTAAACCAACCGGGAAGAAAGTTTCAGTTCCAAATTAGTTCTTTGGCCGCCTCCAGCATAAACACCATTCGGATGATTTGAAAGTCAATGAGCAAAATCCTGACAACAAAATAAATCGGATTATTCTGTACGTCCTGATTTATCGCTCTAGTTGGTGCAAGAGGCCGAAATAAATAATATGTTGCGATTTAATCGAGTCCCGGTTGGAAATAAAATTGCTTTATTGCTAGACGTAAAATAAATTTAAAATTTAATTAAATACCAGCACTTTATTGGTGGAATTGCGCCTGCAAGCCGCAACTTCAGATGCTCCAACTGGGAATTGGTAAAACAGTTGGAAACTATGCGGGAACATGAATGCCGCCTACCTCAGATTGTGAAAATACGCCAGTTTAGGATTGATTTCTTTCCCACCCAAAAACTAAACTAACATACTTTTTAAAGGTAGATGTGCAATCTTCAGATCATCAAACCGAAGCTCTGTTGGGGATATTTGTTAAGCATGTCACTCCCGAGTCTCCAGCAGGAAAAACGGGCCAATTCAAGGTACATAAATTGAAGCCTGCGAATATTTTATGCATAAAACGTACTAGCACATTTTTTTCTGTAGACGGGAGACCGGATATTAGAAGTAAGTGGCATCGATTTAAGGGAGGCGACTCATGACAAGGCCGTGGAAGCCATCAGGAGTGCTCCTAATCCTGTCGTGTTCCTCGTTCAGTCCCTAATTCCCTGGGTAAGTTGCATGTCATGCATCATTTACTGCTGGTTATGTGGAAGGCTGTACAATGAATCAAACTTTGGTAAATGCCCATGGTAGAAACGCTTTTTACTACTGGGCTTTTTTGCCAATGTTGGCCAATTTAAAAGCAATTTGACTGATAAAAGGGGGAATCGGTCACGGTGCAGTACCTAATAATAGAAATAAATCAAAGAGGTAAAGTAGAAAAAGGAGATGAAAAGCTGTGCCGCTTCCCGCACTTCCAAATAATCAAACCATGCTTCTCAAACCTCTTCCGAATGATCGCAACTAAAATAATAAATTTGCAACAGCGATATTTCAAATGCACTCTTTCGCGAGTTTTGCTAGAAGCTATAGCAGGGATTTCCCAAAATTACTAGCGATGATTTTGTAATAATTAGAACGATCGGCCCTATTAAGGTAAACAGTTCAATTTTTCTGGTTAATGCGCCTTGACAATGTTCCGGCTTTTAGCGAAACAAACAAAAACCGATTAAAACTCGGAAGAACTGAAAATAAGCTGAGACTGACAGAAAACCTTTCCGCCACTAGTGCAAAAGCAGAATTTTCCTTGAATATTTCACCGGCGAAAAGATTCGCTGTTCAGTGTAAGGCTTGAGTAAGCATTTAGACATCCCCTAAGCTGCTCTGTAAATATTCCGTTTATCCCTTAAGGAATTTCGTTTTTTTCACCAAAGTTTTTGGGTCGAATTTCTTGCGGACTGAAACTTTGTCGAAAAACTACAGTTCGTTAAGCTACGGGCGGGCACTAGATACGGACAACAGAACAATAGTTTCTTCGAATGCAGCAAAAAGTCCCGATCTGATACAGACTAGGTCGATACTTCTATGCCCAAGCTCATTCAAATTGCTTGCGCATTAACTATTTTTATTTTTAATTTGCTTAAGTACACGCCGAAAACGGTACATAATTAAAAGGTTTTATTCAGCGCGGAAGCACGCAAGGGTCGCATCATGTGAGGACGATTTTTTATATGTAAAACCTTTCGTTTTTCCATAATTTTGGCTCAAATCCTCTGTTAGAGAATATATGCGAGCAGGTTTCAGATTTATAGGCATATTTCAACAAATTAGTGAAATAACCACGAAGGCGCAAAAATACGCAAATCTGCGATTAAGAATGCAACGCAGGTTCTTGCACAAAACAGCTAAGCGCCTTACGGAATTGAAAAATGTTTTTGGGTTTTGCTAAGAACATGTTAAATTTACATAACTGATCAGATCAAAAGCTTGGCTTAAGTCAAACCAATATCTCTGAAAGCATTCAAGAACATCAAAAACTACCCCACATCGTCTACCACTTGAAATTATTACTTTAGAAAATCTCGCTCTCAATCGATTCCATTTACATCCAAAGCTCCACATTTCCAGCCTTCGGATCCATGCAAGGCACGGAGTCCATCGTGAATATTAAAAATACGTTCCACCCTTATTTTGTCCCGATTTAGTCCTAGAAATGGGAGCATTTTTACGTGTCACTTACATAATCTGATATAAAGCATACCTTCGTCAAGGGTAAGATAAATGACGATACGCCAACGCAATGCTTTATGTAACGGGGCTTTGAAGGGTCGTTATTTATATTTTTCTAGCTGCGTTTAATGGGTGCAGATCGCCAAGTCTAAGACAATTTAATAATCGTTAGTTTGCGGTTTCCAGTCAATCAACACTTAGATTTGAGGGTTTTTCAATATTATACACTAAAGAAAATTACAAATACTTCTCGAAACGAACAACTTGTGAAGATGCTAGCCATGTGTGCTACAGAAACGTTAGGACCAAATTCTATCGGCCACCTAATAACCGGAATATTAACAAAAATCTACTCACAACAATAGTTTTCATTGACTGCGTGTACTTAATTAAGTTTATCAACCATTTTGCAGTTAAACCGACGATTATCAAAAAAGGTTTATCCTTTGTCTATTCCCTTAATGGTTTCGTCATTTCAATTCTTTAATCTTTTAATTCCGGTGCATTTTTTTTACCCACTGAAAGGGGCCACAGTGAGGCCTTATTTTTAAACCTTTCTAGAGCTTTTGTTCTTAATAGCATTTACATATTTTAAATTTGTTCTTAGTTTTTTACGCTTATTTCTTCTCCGCCCATTCCACCGACTATATCGAAATTCTATCTACAAAAGCCTTATCTGCCTTATTCATTTAGAAGGCACTTGAATGATTGGCAACACTTTTCATTAATTTTTCCCACGTTTCTCTTTGCAGTTAAATTTGCAACATGACAATAATATAGCCGATGATAACGACTGCCGTTTGCCTTTGTCATCGCCAAACACTCAGGAGAAAAAAGGACTTGCCGTAAATTTCGCTGATAACGGGAATGCCCCCGAACTTCCTGTTAACCATCAAGATGATCAATGTGTTTCAAAAGGTATGAAATGTAGAAAAGACGAAATGTGCGTTTCAGTCGCAGCAAATGCCAGTCATATCAGTCGTCATTCCTTCCTTAAATTGTGTGTATTTTTATTAGAAATCTTTGCAATATTTACTCGTACCCTCAGGCAGGCAATTGAGTTAAATTGCATACTTGGCGTTGTTCAAGATGGTTTGTGAAAGTAGATTTGAAGCCGAGATTTTATTTCGTTGAAACTATGTTCAGTAAATTCCATAAATTCTCAGTTTGAAATGAATTTATTAAAACAAAACTTTTAGAAGATTCCAATGAGCACAACGAAGAAATAAGCTCTTTATCGGAAATTAACAAACCTACTGCCGACCAGTCTGTGATTATTGACTCGGGAAGTGATGAGGAGGACGAAGAAGATGCAGCTGAACTGGAAGGTAGAACAGTTTCATCTAAAGGACATCAGGTACGAAATTTCGTTTGAAAAGCGTATCAGATACATTCTGAAATTTGGAAACTACATAATTTTTCTGGTTTCGTTGAATTAATGGCGTTAATTTTACTGTTTCAGATTGATCGAGCCAGTGCGGCAAATTTCAAACGAAGCAAAGAAGAAATTGCTGCAGATAAGGAGGAGGAAGACGACTTCGGATACACTACAAGTAAGTATCAATTCCTGAATTTCTCTGTCCTATTGTTTGAACTGAAATTCTGGCCCAAGAAGAATAATGAGTTTTTCTGGGACTTTTTTGGTTTATCCACAACAATATTTGCATTATTACCAGATAAGTTTAAATATTTTTTCACATCAAAAAGGATAAACATCGACAAGACATTGCGTCATTAATTTTCCACTTTCATCTCATCTGTCCACAAACACACGCCCCGGAATTTAATTTGATTAATCCGACAATATTTACGCGATTTGTCCCACAACAATTCAATCAAAACCTTGTACAATTCGGCCGGAAAAACTGGATGTTGCTGTTGAAGTTACGGGAATTTGTTAGGGCATAATTCGCCCTGTCCTAATGGAAGATATTCGTGGACGTTTTTTGCCATTGTTTGTTGAAGTCCCATCTGGATTTGCCGGGTAAGCGTGATGTTTTCCAGGATTTATCAGTTTTTTGGATTTATTACTTTTTTGAAAGTATCTGGACTAAGGGAGAGAAAAATGGACATTCAAAGAGTGAAACGAGTTTGGCACTGAAATAAAATGGGGTTGATAATTGCAAAAACATCCAGGTCTGAACCCTAACATTTCATCTAGGTCTATAATCTGATTATTATTATTATTGTAGTTGCTTAAATGGAAATGATTTGGAAAAAATTGCCAATTCCTGCTTCTAGTCTTCATTTTTCATTAAGTTTGCATAACAGTCCTCTGCGCCAGAAGCTGTCGAAGTAATTTCCATTTATTGTTTTTTCTTTCTTAAAAGCCCCTTTGTCGGGGCAAACATTGTCCAAAGTGCCCATTGAAATTGATAAATGGTCTCGATAGACAATATATTCAATATATAAAAAACCTGATTATGCGAGTTGGAACAACGGTGCTGTATGATCGATACAGAACACTCTCCCCTGAAATGCGAAGTGATTTTGTCGCGTTTTGACCCTTTATCGGGATCCCAGGATTGATACTTTTTTGCGTCGAACAAATTGAGTTACTAAATCATCTTCCTGATAAATCGACTGTACTAAAAATGGTCCTGTTTCGGAACTGTCTCTACACTTTTGTCGAGATCGGTAAAACGCAAACGTGTTATAGAGTTTCTAAGGCAAATTGCCAGCTTTACTGGCATTAAATCCATAGTTATGACCGCTCACTTAAAATGCTAAGTAGAAAATCCAATAAAGTTTAAAAATATTTCATGAATCAACCAGGTCTTGAAGCCTGTGTGAAATGTACGAAAATAAAAGTTTTACGGCCAACTTCAATCAGATCTTAAAGCGGGCGAAGTGGCACAATCACATGGAGCTTAGCACGAATATTAATTAACTTCTCAACCAGCTGACACAAAAAGCGTACGTGAAAAACAGTTTTCAGGTGCTGGAAGTTGCAGATCGGTCGCGGCTGAACAGAAGTTTAATCAGTTAAGCTGTGGGCGAAATTAACGCCATCGAGTTTTGACTTAAAACTTATCCAATATCCTGTCTGAAGTATCTAGCGCTAATTGCGGGCTTCAAATCGATTTACCTTAACTGAAATGTAATAGGGTAGGTTGCAAAAGTCAACAATTCTCAGGAAACTTGAAACATACTGAACAAAAAATGAGGCGCGGCTGAGTTGAGGGAAATATTTTCGGATTATTTTGAGTTTACAATCATTTTGTGGTTGCACTTTCAAATTTGTTGTTATTAACTGAGAAGTGAAAATCCTAGAACACGCATGAACGTCAATAAATCCTACATGTTCTTTGATAAATTAATACGATTTCATCTTCCAAAGTGAATTGCGGTTGTTTCTACGTTAATCGGTGAGTCATTAGTCGCTTTAGCCCGCTCTATATTTCAACATGTACGATTTATGATTTTGACCGACATGCTTTTGCCGAAAACCGGCAAAAGTTCGGGCTAATTGCTCAGAAAAACAATTAATCTTGATAATACTTAAGCGGAATTCGGCGCTATGAAAGCTTTCAACCCTTTTGTTTATTTTCGGCAGTTTTGTACAATTGGCGCTTCGAAATAGTTTCGGGTTTGTTGCCGTTTTGAAGATGGCTGTAGAGTATTTGCTGTCAGATTTATTTATCTCTTGCTATTTTGGTGAGAAAATCTTTGAGCATCGATAGCCTTTTTCTGTAGCAAATAAAGATTATTCATATATTAGCATTATAGCATTAGCACATTCAAAACCATGCCATCCAAAACATAATTGAAAAAACACAAAGAACTTGAGACTAAGAGGAGGAAATACGAGCAGACAACTAAAATGCCAACGAAAATTATGTAATTAAATTAGTCACATGTGTATAGTAAGGGTATCTGCAAACGCTTTTTAATTCGCGTTTTCCAGACCCGAAACGTTTACAGGGGCTGGAAAACAATAGAAATGAAAATGAAAGGGAATCCAGCATTTCCAGAAAGTTATTTTGTTCGCTTCAAGGCAAATAAATCTCGCTTTGAAATTGACATGTTTAGCATCTAAAAATTAACATTTAAAAAGCCTTTATTGTGCTGAACATAGCAGACATTAATCATTGGAACCGCAAAAACGCTTCGGAAACTTCGGATTATTCCGGATTCTGGTCTAAGACCAAACGCAAACATCTGATCATTCTAGTTATATATTTTAGTACAAATTGATATTGGATTAAGACAAACTGGTCGCATTGATCAATAGTTTAGGATCAATAGTTATGTGTTGGATTCAGTAAAATGATAAAAAATATTTTTAAAATGAGGATGGAAAATTTTACGACCTACCACTAACAGAAACATATTTATACATATGCCGCAAACAGACATCGTTCGCTCGAAAGGTCGCACTGGACTGTTTCTGCTTATGAACTCAGAATGTTTGTCCTATTATAATATAGCATGACAATCTTGATTTTTGCTTCAAATATTGTTATTCTATTAATGAGTCGACACAATATTTGAGGTAAAAAGGCAATATTCTCATTCTATGTTCAACTATTTTGAGTTCAATATAAGCTAATCATTGAAAGCTTTCGAGCCCTTCAATCCACTATCACTTCAATCAATGACCTCAAAATGTTAACTTTCTTTATAGAAACATATTTCACATAACAACGCAGCTGATTGAGACCAAGTTTTGCCCTCACTCCCTCACTCGATCCTATATCTTATTTTTAGCTTATTTCGTCTACTTGGCAATTTTCAACCGCAGATTATCTGTTATTCTCCTATTCCCCACTAGTTATGTGAAAAGCTCTATTCCGGTTTGATGTGCAAGGGCTTTATTACGCGTTTGCTGATTTATCAGCAGGGATACATCAACTATAAAGGAAGTAATGGAGGCAGAACTCGCCCTTACACACGAAGTGCAAACGTAATAAACTCTAGCTGTAAGGTTTTACGATATATGCGATAGCAGCTCTTTGGGCACTTCGCACTGGAAATTGAACCTCGATCGATATTTGAGGGAATAAGTAATTAAAAAAAGATATCTTTCACTTTGAATCCATCTTTTAATCAATTCATTAATCTTTAGTTAAAATGCTCTTAGTTAATTGTTCCGGCAAAGTAATCGAATGGATGGACTGTTTATCACCAGGGCTTTAAACTCGAACAGTTGAAGCTTTAAAGAATGCTAATTATATTTTTGAACTACTGTTATTATCTGTTATTACATGTTAATCAAGATTGATTACAAATTACACGTGAATAAATAAAAATTCACATTGCCTTTGAAAATCGGTTGCAAAAGTAGTCCTTTTAATGATTCCTCTTTGATTAAATAATGATGGATTAAGCTATTTTTAAACTTCCATTAAAGGAAAGCCATAGCTGAGGCAATATATAAATACAAATGGGTTCGAATAAACAAAGGAGTTGCTCGGAAATGAAGTATTGAAACGAGTTGCACGTACGAGCTAAACTCAATCAAGTCTAGTCAAAGTTGAAATTTATTATTAAGTTCGACATGGAAATGGCGTTTTTATTATAGGCACTTTTAATAATTCGCAGTATGAAAAATAATAATCCAACAGGACAATGTTAAAGGTATTCATAAATTTCCGACATTCCCTTTCATCGGCGTCTAGGCTGATCTTTTATTATTCTCCGTGCCGCTTGTCGAATCTGGCACCAACCCCTTTTTTCCAATTGGAAGTCAGACAAAGAATTATTAAACTTTGGGAAAAAGTGTGTCAACTATTGATCCGATCGAGAGATCTCTAATAATTTATGGGCCCGTATATTTACTGCACGATTCGTTCAGTTGATGACCCGACAGGTATTTTAGCCTAAATAAGCCAAGGAGGGCACGTAATTTTTCACAAACTAATTTAAAATAGATTTAGTGGAAATTGTCAATTTCGACTTTGAATTATTGCATAGTAAATTCGGGCAGTTTGTTATTCGTTTCAAGCAAAAATTTAAGGCGTAACAACGTGTTATGAGGTTTCTTGCAATTTATGGCCCCCATCTAAAGCGATAAATTATACTTACATTTACAGGGTGTGACTCGATGTTCAAAGCTTAAGAGCGAATTTCTTGATCAATTTTAAGTAGAAAATGCCTTTGGTACTTTAGGCCATCGAGTTACGGGACACTGTATATAAAGGGTGAATCAACATGGACGGCAAATAGAGAAAACGCGATTATTCTACTGATAAAAATTAGACTGTAATCAGTTGAGCAGATTTAAGAGTTCAAAGTTTTTATTCTCAAAATCCGCATGCCATTGGATACTCTCATTACCTGATTTTTATTACAAAACATAGAATTTACCTCAAAACTGTTCAACATTACAACATTAGTTTACGTGGTTTAAAATGTTTCGTTCTTATATCGCGAACTGATGCTAAAAGAAAGTTTTCTGTAGCTAAAGAGAAGTGGCGATTTTTCAACCAGTGCTTGATATGGAAATGGCGAAAAAAATGATGGAGTTTTGATTTTTTGAGTCAATTAATCCTTCATCCGGTTCGAAGAACCAAGGATAGTCTAGATCTTTAACATATAATTTTAGAAGTGT